GGAAGTGTGCAATATCCCTGCTTCAAAAGTTAGTTGGTAAAACTATACCAGAAGGCCCTGTACACTTGCTTTTGGGCCTGCCCATTGTACATTTTTCAAAGTCTGCTGCTAAACTTATTAACCATGTCCTCACTGCAGCCAGATGCCTTATAGTTTTGAAATGGCGGCAACCCATTCCTCCATCTGAGGCAGAACTGTTGAGAAGGATCCATGATATTCATAACTTAGAATACTTAACGGCTCGACTACATAACACCATCTCTAAATTCGAGCAGGTGTGGTCCCCCTGGCAACTGCTGGAGGGCCCTAGTGGCGCTGCTTTACAACCTGGTGTTTTGTTTCCCCCGAGACTATGAGAAACGATATGCACATAAATAAATATGTGTATGTTGCTTCCTATACTTTTCCCCTTTTTTTTTTCTCTTTTCTTTTCTTCCACCTTTTCCTTTTTTTTCTTTTTTTTATCTTCTCTTTCTTCTCTTTTTCTAAATTGAATGGAAAATGTTTTGGGTTTTTTTCTTAAAGCTTAATAAAGCTAAATGTAAATGCTGTTGTATTCATGTAAGACTACAATAAAAAAGTAAATGATTAAAAAAAAACATTAAAGTTCAATCTGCTTATATTTTGCCTTCCCTGGTTACTCCCTTCCCTCTTCATCAACATGCTAATTAAATTTTTCAAGTTGAACACCGGGCAGAAATGTTTCTGATGTGTATTTTGGGGCTTTCTTACCTCTACTAAATATGTTCTCCTTCACATGCTTTGGTGTAAAGTTTTCTGCGGAGCAATAAGAGGAGGAAGGGACATGACTGGTGAAGCTCAGACCTAAACAAGGAGGAGTTAGGCGAGTATTGGATGGAAGGGTTTTTTTCTGTTTGTGTTTGAAAGGGGGGAGGGAGGGCCAGCTAGTGTAGTGATAGGTAGGTTTAGCTCAGGGGGTGGAGTTAAGGGGGCCATCTTACTGTGTTGTGTGATTTAGGAAACCATTTTAGGTGGGAGGGAAAAGGCGTCAGTCAGGGGGTGAGCTCTGTGCCTTTTGATTAGGGAGGTAGTCCCTTGCCAGGATGGCCGCAGTGCTGGAATCTTTGCTTCAGCGGATTCGGGATCAGGCGTTGACCCGAGGCCTGGATTGGGTGCGTCAGCAGCTGGAAGAGGTATTCCCCACTCCAACACATGACATGATATCCAGTACCTATTGGGTTGCTTTTTTTGAGGGTGGATTGATGTCTTACCATGGGGTGCTCGATTTAATGCACCTATTTTGAAGTGTTCAGTACGTTTCTGCCATGGGTGGTACGATCTTTTTCCAGTCAGATGATCATACTGCACTATCTTAATGATTTCTTCTGTGTTGGCCCGGCCAATTCTCGGTTATGTTTGGTGATATCTGTTTTACGGCAATTTGGTATTCCACTAGCAGAAGACAAGACGGAGTGTCCTGCGCCTATTATGACGTTTCTGGGTATAGAAATTGATTCCCTATGGGAGGAGTGCAGGCTTCCTGAGGAGATGATAGTGGAGTTGCGTGCCTTGATCTCCAGGCCGTTGCCATTGAAAAACATGACACTGTGTGAATTGCAGAGTTTATTGGATAGGCTGAATTGTGCATGCAGAATCTTGCCCATGGGCAGGGTTTTCTGCAGACATTTGTCTCAGGCCACGGCAGGGATCTCTTTGCCTGGGCACCGCATTAAATTGACGATTGCATTGAAAGATGACTTGTGAGTATGGGATTTTTTTTTAGGGACTATAACGGCAAGTCTCTCTGGCAACACGAGTTAGCCCTCCTGGGGGAACATAGACTTTATACTGATGCCTCCGGGGCTTGTGGAGTTAGGACTTACTTTGAAGGTGCTTGGTGTGTGGGTTTTTGGCCTTGGTCATGGTGGGAGGATGGTTTGATGGGGAACCTGACTTGCCTTAAGTGGTTTTCCTTTAGTCGTAGCAGTAGAGGTTTGGGGAGACAAACTCTGTGACCTGGCTGTTTAATTTCACTCAGACAACATGGCGGTGGTGGAAGTGGTGAGATATTTAGTACTGGGCTGCCTCCATAGGAATATTAGCTTTGTGTTTAAGGGTTTGGAGAATCGGGTAGCTGAAGCTCTGTCTTGTTTTTAGTGGGATCGCTTTCATTGCTTGGCCACGGAGGTGGACGAGGAGGCCACCCCCTGGCCGGAGAGTTTGTGGAATGTTGCGTCCATCAGGTGGCGAGTTGGGTATGGGATTCCTTGGCAAAATTGATGTTCAGAGCAGTTGTGGAATCCAGAACAATGTGGATCTTCTCCTCTGGTTTTTATCGTCTTTGAAAGGGGAGGGTGTGTTTGTAGTGGTCATTAACAAGCATATGGTGGCTTTGTCCTTCTTGTTTAAGCTTGAAGGCGGTCGGGATGCCACAAAGGTGTTCTTGTTTCACCAGATTCTTAAAGGGCGGAGGAAGGGTGTCTGCCAGGTGGACCGCCAGCGCCCTGTGACTTTTCAAATCCTGGAAGGTTTGTTTCGGAGATTGTCTGCTGCTGCGTGTGTGAAGTTGTTCTTTTTCAACTGGCTTTTTCTTTGGCATTCTATGGCGCTCTTAGGATTAGCAAATTGGTGTCCCCTGATAGGCAGGGATCGCTTTCTGGAATTCTTGTGGGGATTTTACTCTTGACATGGTTATTTACCAGTCCAAGATGGACAGGTATAATAGGGGCCTTTGGGTTTAGCTCCATGCCTAGGAAGGTTTGCTCTCCCGCTGAGTGTCGTGTTTTCACAGGTTTCTAGGTATTCATCCTGAGGGTGCAGTGCCATTATTGGTGCATTGGGATGGCTCCGCTTTATCCCCTTTTCAGTTTCCAGCAGTTTTTAAGCGTTGCTTACAAGGCATGGGGCTGTCATTAGGGGATTACAATACACATTCTTTTAGAATAGGTGCAGCCACTGAAGCTCATAGATGGGGACTGGGGGAAGACTTGTTGCAGAAAATTGGTAGGTGGAAATCAGTTAGATTCAGATCTTATATTCATCCTCACCTTGTGGAGTACACTTTTCCTCCCTATCTGTAACTTTCTGAGTGGGGCTCTGGAGGGGGAGGCAGGGCATTCTTTGTTTTAGTGGTGGTATATTTTTCTTTAACCAGGTAAATGTGTGGTGTGGGTGGTTGGCCACTCTTATATTTTCTGGGCTGAGATGAGATCGAGGCATCGAAATTCAGGTAGGTTCCTGGGTCCGTTTGAGAGAGAGTTTTTTATTGATCGGTTGGAGGTCTGGGGCCTTACGTTGGACCAGGTATTACCTAGAATCACTCAGTGATTGAGGAGATGGGGGTCCCCCTAATCTCATTGTTTTTCATGCTGGTGGCAATAACTTAGGTCACAACTCTATCAAAGACCTCATTGTTGACATTAAATATGTCTTTTTGCATCTCTGGGAGCTGCACACCCAGACCAATTTTGATTTGGTCTGAGACAGTTCCTCATCAGGTATGGCGGGGGCTGCCTTCAATCATGATGCAATATACTGTACCAGCTTCAAAGTGAATAAAGCAGTGTCCAAATGTATAAGGCGCACAGGAGGTATAGTGATTCGGCACAGGCTACTGGAAGCATACACCTGGGAAAAGATGGTGTACACCTCACAGAGGTCAGTCTGGATGTTTTTAATTTTGGTATTAGGAAACGGTTGGAGATGGCCCTTGGCGTGTGGTGGGACATGAGGCTTCAACCCCTCATGCTGGTGGTGGGTCCCTGGCAGTACCATACATCGGTGACGAAGAACTGGCTCTCTCACTGGGGCGGAGAATTAGGGAAATGCCAATGGTGGGGCTTATGGGATCTTTAGTTTCTACAAGCAGCGCTGTGAGAGAAAAGGAAGTGCTATACATGCCTGCAGTACTACTCCTCCTCCTGGTGCCCAGTCAAAGCTGCTTCTTATGAATTGCAGTGATGACATTACGTATATTTTATAGGATTTTCAGCTAAACAGTGAAGCTTTTTAATAACCGAGTAGCTTATTACACATCTTATTTTAAACACTTGGTCTCAGTACTTCTATATGCAGGCTGAAAGTGGGAGGGGCAGGAAGGGTGTTGTACACAGCTTCCTGAAATTCACAGCACTGCAGCACTGCACTCTGACACTGATTCTATCAAGAACCCATTAGCCCTGATGCATGGAGTAGGCATTTCAGTCTATCTGGGGGAGTGGGCCTTCCTATGTAGACTGCATGTGCATGCAGACTGTCCTAGGTAATACCCGCATGTGATGCTGAACCCCACGAATAAAAATAAATGAAATTCAATGAATAAAGGGACAGACTAAGGAAAGAGCAGGATGATGCTGGATGTCCTCCAGCCAGGCAAAAAGGCAGGTTCTATCTGATTTGATGCATGTTCTAATGCATACTGTGAGACACTCACAGTATGCAGTGAAATCAGAGTAAGTAATTCCAGTAAAGGAGAGGAGCCGGTACATCTGTGCAAGACTGAAGGTCAGGCAGGGGTTCAGCTTTAAGTGCTGTAAGGTAAAGTGAGTAAGGTTGCTAGAAAATGCTGCCTTTGTAATTACAAATAATTGGAACTGGAGAAATAAAAAAAAACATTTGCGGTGCTGTTCATATCAACATAACAGCTCTCTCCTCTAATTTAATGGAATTGTCTCTTCCCCAAAAAAGTTGGGATAACCACCCAGAAAAGCAGGAAAAGGGGCGCAATGCGTAAAAAACAATTGCTTCCGATACAAAAATGTGCTTTCTTGGCCCCAATGACAGAAAAACACCCCACAGTGCTCCCTGGTGTTTATTTCCAGCAGGTTATGGATACAGAATATAACCTTACACAGAGGGAATGAAAACAGCCTTTCAATGTTAATCATGCGTGGAGAAGATAAAACTGCTGATTTATTTTACTTATTTTTAAAATCTATGAGATCCACATTATATATACTGTTAGCTTTAATTCAAACAAAATCCATTTGTATTCATGTCATGAGATATGAAAGTAAAAAATAGAAAATTGAGGGCTATCCTTGTTCATTCGGGGATTTGCCAGGTAAAATTTAGTGATAAATCTCCCATTTTTTCCTGGAATAGTTTATCAAACAGTTCACTTTGTGCCACAGTCAATGTGTTTTTCCAGTCTCCAACTTGGCCTGAAGAGAAAGTAATACAAATTCAATTACAATTATATACGTAGATGTAGATCATATACATTATAACATACATCAGGAGCTTTGAATGGCTTTAATGCAAGTCAAAGAAAGGCCCTGTCTGGTCTGGTTTCATTAGACACAATCATAGTTATGGATAGATTAGTTGTTATCAAGTGATGCCCACAGATGACAGATTATCTGGGTCTGACCTTAGTTCATGAAGACTGGAACTCTTATTTGCAACCCTTTGAGAGTATACTAAGTGCTGGATACATTTAAACCAGATGTCTAAAATTATAACTAACAGTCACATATTTTTGAAACAGGTTTTGCAGACTAGGCAGCACAATGGCTTCATGGAAGATTAATTGCAGAAATATACTTTCTCAGGGACTATGGTTTGCCTAAAATGAAATACATGAATAATGAAACTGGATAACAAATACTTGGTCTAACATTTTGGATACAGAGACCAGAAGAGGCAACTGTACAGAGTCTAGAGCAGCCTTTCACAACCAAGGTGCTGTAGCACCCTGGGGTACCTTCTGGCTTCCTCGGGGTTGTCTCAAATTTTTTCACAATGTCATGCAATTTCCTGTTGCAGGTGGGCTTCTGATGTGAAGTGGGGGCTCTGATGTGAAAGGAGGGGACTCTTATGTGAAGGGGGATCTTTTGATGTGAAGAGGGCTCCTAATGTGAAGAGGAGGGGGGCTTCTGTTGTGAAGGGGTGCTTCTAATATGAAGTGGTGGTCTGATGTGAAAGGGGGTGACTTTGGTGTTAAAGGAGGGGGCTTTGATGTTAAGTGGGCTCCTGATGTAAATGGAACTCCTGTTGTGAAGAGGTGGCTTCTGATGTGAAAGGGAGCTCCCAATGTGAAGGGGGGACTCTGATGTGAAAGGGAGCTCCTGATGTGGATGAGATACTCTGATGTGAAGTGGGCTCCTGATGTAAAGGAGGGCTTTTTATGTGAAAGGGGGGCTTCAGAAATAGAAGGGGAGAGTCTCATGTGAAGGGGAACTCCACTGTTTTGTGTTTTTGCTTGGTGGTCTCCCCTTAAAACCTCTGGTAAAAGTCTGGTATGGATTTTGGAGGGGCCACATATCAATTGTTTTTACATTTTTGAAAATATTTTTTGCATTTACACTTTTTAAACAGTGGTGCCTTGACATTTTGCATACATTTAAAATGTGCTGTGACTGAAAAACAAGGTTGAGAAATGCTGCTCTAGGGGCTAGAACCCAGCATCAGAATTTTATGCACCAGAATTTTCTTTCTGTCTGTGTTCCTTGGAGATTTCTTTTCCCACTTACTGTCTTGGTAACAACACTGTCACTGGGATAGGAAGTGAGAGGAAATCTTATCAATGAGACATCAGTCAGCTAAAACTAAAGGAAAATTTTGACTGGAGTTATACATCCAGGGATATTCTTCTGTTTCACTTTGGAGTTTTATTTGCTCCTTTGCCTTTGGGGAATTATTTTCCAGGTAAGAGAACATAAGGCAGTGGGAGTATGAACAATGTCAGCATTAAGTATAAAGATCTGTGAAGAGCAGGTTCTACATCTTGCCGGTCTTAGGGAAACAAAGCCTACTTTACAACATAGAATTTTATTTTGACACCCTTGGCATTGATGGAATCAGTCAGGTTTCCCCAACTGAGATATTCCCTGATAGAGAACAGAAGACTGAATAGGAGTATGGGATACAAAGAGAGTGAACCATCAGTGTAATGTGTCCTGTTATAACCTTAAAACTGAACTATGATATTAATATATTGATTGTGTTCTACTTTTATTATTGAGCAAGAAAAAAGCACCAGTAAAAGTCACATTCTTGTCACACCTTCTGCATGTTTTCTTTGCTCCTGCTGGCACAGAACCTAAAAAAATGAATGTGGGAAGTGCAGAGAGCATAATTATGACAAAGAGAATGAAGCATAGCGTTATGAGACTGACAAAATACACACCAAGTTTGAGTCATGGAGCCAGTAAAGTTGTTGCCTCTTGAAAGGCATTTAAAATGCCTGTTATAAGAACCTCTGAGAGAAAAGGGGAGGGGGACCTTGGATATGGCTTCATGCTAGAATTAAAAAAATTAGGGTGTCAGGACTGCCTCCTAAAGACTCTGCTCCTGGATTATTAGCATGCTGGAATGTGTGTACTGCCCAGTGTGCTGCCTTACCATTACAGTTCACAATGAAAAGGACCCTTTGTTTTGGGTAAAAACCTCTGACAATGCAAAGTTGTAAACATTCATTTTCTTGCCACCTGCCTTTTATTTGTTTATACAAGCATAATGATCTTTATTTTCACACAGGGGTCTTGCATTTTTAAATCTAATTGCCACAATTTTATGCAACTTTTTTCCTGTGAAGCTAAGGAAGATAAAGACTGATGACATCAATCTCCCAAGATGCATCTGGAAAGCAATGGGCTTCCTGGGCTGCTTGTGACCAGGAAGAACTGGAAATACATTTTTGGTAATTATAACTATCCTCAGAGTGTAAGAGTCTTCTGCATGGCCAGTTGCATTTTTTACGATGTTGTAGGGCCACCTTTGGCACTATTCATTGTTTACTTTTGTCATCAAAAACTAGTTTAGATAAAAGCAGGTGCTTCCAGATTGGACTTTAGACCTATGCATGATTGATTATATTATTTCCTGGAAAATATGCACCAATTGCATAGTTCATCATTTACTAAACATTTTTGTTTGGTTTAGACTTTTTAATCAGATAAAATTATATTTTGGGCAACTCAAGGTAGACTCTGGTCCTTTTGGTTCTTGTCCCCCTGCTTCCAACATTGTGTGGATTAACTATAAAACAATGTTCTTTCATCACTTTAAAAAATAAATGAACGTATATATGACTCTACTAAAATAATTTAATGAGCAGGTAAAGTCAATGTTTTAGGGTGCTTTAACACCATATGCAGTGCATTCTGGCCCGATTCCGTCCGGAACGCACTGCATTGCATTGCGGCCGGCTCACTTTTTTGTGGGGCAGGAGGGGGCGTGGCTGGCCATTGAAGTGAATTACAACGTAGCCACGCCCTCCGGCTGCAATGCGATCGCTCGCACGGGATCGCAAAGCACATTGCGCCTGCAGTCCAGTCTGGTGCGATCAAAATGCTGCAAGCATTATTTTGATCGCACCGGATCACAGGCACATTGTGCCTTGCGATCCTGTGCGGTCGATCGCATTGTGGCCAGAGGGCGTGGCTACGGTGTAATTCACTTCAATGGCCAGCAACGCCCCCTCCTGCCCCACAAAAAAGTGAGCCGGACGCAACGCCATGCAGTGCGTTCCGGCCAGATTCGGACCAGAACGCACTGCATCTGGTGTGAACGTACCCTCAGAGAGAGTTAATGGATTTTTGTTTATGCCTTCTTATGTTCTCTTCAGGTTGGCTGCAGTCAGACTAAGTTAAGTAATTTGTTCAGAATGTGTTACATTTTGTTTGGCTGAGACCAATCAGAGCTGAACTTAGTTTTGGGAAAAAGGGGACTTTTCAAGCCTATGTTTTTGCAAAGGTAAATCCCAACTTTTTGAGTTTTCGATTTCGAGGACTGCTCCTTGAAAAGCAGATCTGGCTTAGCCCTGCAATTTGCAGTGTATATTGTCTAAGTTGGCTTAGGTTTAGATGTTTGATAAGTAAGCTGCCAGGAATGACTAGGGTATCTTGGCGGTACCTGGACCACTGGCATCCTCTTGCTTATCTTGTTCAAGTGCTCTAGTAAAATTTCAAGAAAAATATATTCAAAGTGAATGGTATGCCCCAGACTTGGAGCTCAGATAATTAAGAGTTAGGGACTATACTTTACAGAGGTGCCTTGATGGGGCAGTGTGGCTTCACTTGTATTTGCAAATGTATGCAAAAACACTTTTAAATTTTTTTTCTATTTCTTTTCTGACTAGCTAAGGATTGTGCTGTGGATTGTATAGCACCTATCATTTTGATAGTTATGCATTGATCCGAGCAGCTGCCATTTTTACTCCAAGTGCCTTGAACACGTTCTTGCTCTGAATTACAGATGCTAGAAATATGTAGTGCTTGCTTGTGAATGTTAAAACAGCTGTCAGTGTCTAATTATCAAGGAATACAGAGACAAAAAAAACCTTGTGTTCATTTAAATGTTCATATTCATTTACATCCATAACAGATAACAGGTATATTGCATACATTATGATAAATATTGAAGCATTCACAGTAAATATAAAACACTACATCTAAGAACTAAACCCCTTACAGTATAGCTAAAATATTTTACCTTTACGCATAAATGACCCAGATTTATTATCTATAATGTCTTCAGGCATATTTTCTTTATTTGCAAGAGGATCCTTTTTCATCTCATTAAAAGATGCTTTTTTTACCACAATATCCATCGCCTCGTCATCTAATTTTATCCCTAAAAATGTGGAGATTTGCTTGACAACAGAGCGAAGGTCCTACAAACATGAAAAAATCTATTTTATCAAAATAATTATAATATTCATTTTTATCATCTGAAATGTAAAATAATTTGACAGCTTTGATTAATAATTTATAGAGCTACCGTATTTTTCGCTCCATAAGACGCACTTTTTTCCCCCAAAAGGAGGGGGGAAATGTGCCTGCGTCTTATGGAGCGAATACCTATCGCCCGACACCCGGGACATGCAGTTTCGGGCGCCGGGCGAGTAGTTTCTTTTTGTACATTCAGCCCTGCTCCTGACAAGCAGAGCTGAATGTACAGTGGGAGCCGCTGTTCGTTTAATACAAGCGATCTAAGTAGATCCCTTGTATTAAATCGAGCGGCGGCGGCATCGGCGATAGTGTCCGCCCCCCGCCGAGGTTTTCTGGGTCCCCCGTTCCTCTGCGGGACTGTGACCCGTCACGATCCCCCATAGGAGCTCACCATAGAGTCCATTGAGCAGACGAAGAACAACGTTCTTCGTCTGCTCTGTGTGATTACTGAGACAGCGCCACCTGTCTCAGCAGTCACTAACTGCAGCTTCTGTGACAGAATTTCTGTCATAGAATTTCTGTCACAGAAGCCATGCGTCCTATCGTCCGGAGCGTCTTATAGACCGCAAAATACGGTAATTGTTGTCACTTTGAAAAGCAGATGTGCTTTAAGAACATTGCGATATAGAGAAATTCATTTTAAGCAGGAAATATTCTGGTTATTAGTGGGTAAACATTTTAATTTTTCATCACTTTCAGTGCAGTAATATGGCTGTGCTCACCGTAATTAGTTATGAGTGAAACCAGCCAACTTCCCCAAAGTTTGGCGAATCCCCAAGAATGTTGGGAGAATTCAAACTTTTGGGTGAATTGCATAGCAGTCAATGGAGGGTGAATATTGATAGTCAGTTCTGCCCATTTGTAGAACTACAGGGTAAGCTTTTGTTATGAGAAGGGCATGGGAAGCCAGGCACTACTATGGGGTGCCTGTGCCTGGTTATATAAGAGTCCACCCTGAATTTCACTACTTGTGAAACGTACAGTGAGGGGAGAAGGCCTTCAGGCTGTACTTCATGATACAGAACAGTAAGTTTTTCAAGAACAGCCTCGGTGACAGTGTGCTTTGGTAGCACATATTTGGCTGTGTAATTAAAGAAGGTTTAGGAAATCATGATTTCTTTTCAAATGCACCTTACAGAAAAAAATAAAAAATAAAAAAAAATTAAAAAATAAATAAAGAAGGTTTAGATAAAAGAATCTGCGCTCTTGGAAAGATAAGGCTAAAAAGTTAGAATACTAATCCTAAAGCTGCTATGAATTGGTAAAATATGATGTGCAAGGGAATAATTAAAGAAGGTGTCTTCCTAAAGCTCTCAAGTATCGGTGGGAAAAAAATTTACCAGTGACAATTTAAAGACAGTGGAAAAACACTTCACACCGCCAACCAACATTATGTGCACAAACTAGACCTCTAGCCCTCAGGACAGTTTCACATGAGCAAGAACAGGCTTACATGCTAATACACAAGGGCCAAGAGGGTATTTCTCTTTAATATATGAGAGCGTCAGCTGTCAGATACAGGTATTTAAAAACTGTTCTGTGGCAGGACAGTTTTGTCGCAAAGAGAAAAAGGCCCAAAAACAAAGACAGGCACAGGCAGTAAAAATTAGAGCATTAGAGGCCAGTGACAGCATTGTTTGTCATTAGCAATAACAGGCCTCACTGGTCTATGCCTAACATTTATTTTTACTATGGGGACAGGGGTTGCAGTAAATGTGGATGATATAATGTGAGGTGGTTTTGGTGTGCGCTGTTTTTGCACTTTTTGTTCTTTCAATAAGTAGTAGCCACATGCTGTGAAAAAAATGGCAGCTCCAAAAACAGATGGTTAGCAACAAGTAAATGTTGCTCTACAAGAAACCCAAAAAATTTGTCTATTTACCCAAAATAAAAACCAATATACCCCCAAAGGAAAATAAATCCCTAGAATACTACCTGCTGAGACAAAAGCACCTTTTTATTTTTCATTTTCTTTTAAAATAAAGCCTTGCTTTCTTATGGATAGGTCAACAGCAAAAAGTGACAACTGCCACAAAACTACCACAAACTAAAATAAAAAGCCCCAATAATGAGAACACAAAAAAAGAAGACATTAAAGTGAATGACAGTCTAAGAACTATCAATCCAACTGGCTGCTGACACAGATAATAGTCCTAATAAGGACTTTTGGGTTAATTGAAGAACCATGAACATGCTTTGGATGGGGGGGGGGGTTAACAATAAAATGTTGTAATTGCAATTCACGAATGTGAAGCACAGTTTTCTAACCAATCCTAATCTCTCCCCATGCAGTTTATGAGATCTCCCTACTCTTTCCGTACAGCAGCGCTGATATACTTTGCATGTTGCACGTTTATACACTCTAGCTGTAAGTTGCATGCTTTATATGCAAGTTGCAGTACAAGAGTCCACCCTGAATTTCACTACTGGAAAAGTAAGATCCCTTACCTTTATCATGTCTTCATATTTTAGGATAAGGATATTGTACTCATCCTTGTGAGTGTACCATCCCCGTATGTGATCAAACCATTTGCCTGCAAAAACTGGGGAAATAACAAATCAAAACACATATAGTATATTAAACAGCATGAGCACCTAAATATAAGTATTTCTAATGGGTTTTAGATGATGATCAGATCTGTGCCTAAACTGTATCCGATATATCTGCTGGAAAAGGCAGTTCTTTCAAATAATTCTAGAAATCAATAGCTAGGTGACCAGGACCCTTACTTAAAATTAACTCAAAATATTGAAATACGCTCTGCTTCCTCTTTAGTGCAGCTTTGCATGACATGTATATAAGGTAGCCCTCCATGTCCAGTATTTATCCTATCAGCTAGGGTTGGATTCTGGAAATACATTTTTGAGTTTTATAGGCACATATTTTTCATTTCTGTCAAAAAATATTTGAGTAGTTGCATTTTTTAATTCCTGTAAACTAACTTGTATATAACTGTTACTTCATAGTTACATAGTTACATAGTATTTGAGGTTGAATAAAGACATTAGTCCAAACTTCTCTCAGGTAGAGGTGGCCTAGGTTTCTTTAGAATCTACCTCCAACCTCTGTCATACTTTTACCTATGTAATCTATACATTTTGAGGTACAACATTCCAAGCCTGTCTGGGTATCTGAGTATGCTTTATATGCACAGAGTCTGGCACTTAACTGCTTCGATAATTAAACATGTCAACCACAAAGTTCAAACTCTGAAAAAATCTGAAAAGTTTTGCAATTTTAGCCTATGGTTTGCAATGATCATTTCTGCGGACAAAAATAATAAGAGAGGACAGGTGGACAGTTTAAGAAGAAGTTTTGATTTTACTTTTGATTTGACTAGATTTATCTGCATTTCATTAGAAGAATTTTGTCTGATTTCAACAGTATATTTCAGATCAAAACTTAGTAGTGAAATGTAGAAAAAAAGTGGCAGAGTAAACCATGGTGATAAACATATTGAGAATTAAAATAGCAGGAATAAACCAAAGTATATTCTGCCCGTAGCTGGGAGAGCAAAGTGGACTTGTTGTATGCATTCTGTTGTGGGTTCCTAAAGTGCAGTGGTACTAGCAAGAATTCAGGTTCCAGGGTCTGGCCAGACAGGCGGAGTGAAGAAGCTGTGTTAAGCTGGCCATACACTTTACAACCATCGCACGACTTTCATCTTGCAATGGTTGTAAAGTAATTAAAAGCTCCTACGATCTGCCCATCTTGGACAGGCAGATCGTACTTGCAATCATCAAAAGCCCGCCCCCCTGAGGGGAGAGCTTCCGATGATTCCAATGCCGCATGGGCAGTGTGTGCTTGCGCCCACCGACAATCGTACGATTTTCGGTGGGTTTTCAAGTCTGCTCGGGAGACAAAAGACGTGCGACCGTACAGTAGAAACGGTTGCACGCCTTCCATACACCTGCCGATTATCGTACGGCAGGTGTATGGACACCTTTAGAGGAGGTCATGCTAGTGTTAATTTATGTGCATTTGAACTGCATGGTAATGTGTATGGTGAACCTGGAGAAGGCAATGAAAGGTTGGAAAGAGCGGAGGAAAGCATTGGACACCTACTGTACTATTACCCCTTGCTCCAAAAGTGATGTGAAATAAGGAGATGTTTTTCGTGTAAACAGAATTGTGCATTTATCTGAAAAGTTGTGGGATTCTAGAAAATAAATTACTAGAGGTGCACCGAAATGAAAATGTCAAAACCAAAATAAAAAAAATGTCAGGTCAAAACCGAAACCAAAAATGTTTTTTCTTGTAACTTTTTCAAATTTTATTAAATATTTTATTTTTCAAAAACTTTTAATTTTTTTACATTTTATTTTTATTAATTAATTTTTTATTAAATATTTTTATTTTTTACTTTACTTTTAGGGGCTTTGGGGAAATATTAGGGGTCTAAACAGACCCCTGATATTTCCCACAGAGTCTCAGCCTCTGATCTGTGACAGGAGGCTGAGCGGTGCGGGGAGGAGGGACGCCGGCCACTCACAGCGCTCTCCTCCTGCAGCGCTTGGCCGTCTGTGACAGTTTCTCTCCTCTCCACTGGGACACAGATGCACTGCTGTATCGGCCAGAAAATGGCACTTTTGGCATTATGCAAAAAGTGCCATTTTCGGCCGATATGTTTCAGCAGTCGATATATCAGCACATCCCCAGAAATTACATTTATATGTCCAGAAGACCTGAAATACTTTTTGTGGGACCTAGCAGTAAAAGCTAATGCATTCACCAGCATAAATGGCTACCTGATTATTGCAAGTGATGTTCTTATGTGACGTACCAATAAGATCATGTTCTGTAGTTTCAGTCATTTTTCATTTCTATGTAAAGTCTTTGACCTTAGGAAAATGCATTATTATATTTACATTTTACTTGAATGAAATTTAAATAATATCTCAACCTATGATATGAATATGAAAAAGTTGGTCTTTGTAAGCTGTATTCAAATGTAGCGCTCACCCTCGAAGGAGCTGCCAGAATGTACCTGGGTCATCCATAGCCTATCTAGGTATTTTAGCAACATTATGCCCATTAGCATTAACTGCCCTCTTCTAGTGACCAACAGAGCTGATATCCAAGCCATAAGTATGATGCTGAAGAACTTTATTAACATATTCACACTGGGAGAGAGGGTGTAGGGGCCTAGACATCCAGGGTAAAACAGACACAGACTCCTGGCTCACCAGTCCCTTTTAGTATGTCAATGTAGATCAATAGGAACACCATTTGTCACTGGGTAGCTCGAGAAGCCTCTAAATAGGGGTGGGTGTGAGATCTTTAATAGGAGATACACCAGACTTGCTCCTGAGGCCCATTCTAATCCAGGCACCTTCAGCAGCCATCATCTTCCTTGGTTCTCCTCCTCAATCAGTAGCAAAGGCCTTCTCCAAGCTCGAGGCCTAACAAAGCATTGCTAGCACTCAAGCATTCCCACCCCCCAGGCCTAGCCTGGGGCAGGCTGGACAGCCACCCCAACCTGAACTAATTCATGGCTGGAGCCAGACTGGACTGAGCACATGGCAATACCCTTGAGTATATGTATCCTGTCTCAGCATGCAACACTGGCTATGAAAACCCCAGTGATTGTCTGATGGACTGCACACACACTTACAGTGTCCCCCATTAGTTGTCCCACACTGCAGCAGAGTGACTCTCCACTCGGGCAGGTACAATCAAAGCCAGAACATGTGAAATTAACCAGATATATACCAAACAGTGTATAACAAAAGCGCCAGCGGCTTGTATCCAAACAAGGAGAATATCTGCAGTGATCTCAATGTGAACCGCAGATGGGGCAGGCTCCCGAACAGGCTCTAGGGAAGCCTCAACTCTGGAAGAAACAAAACACAAAGAGCGCCTCCATCCCTTAAAAACGTTTTATAACTGGTTCTGACGAAGGATGCGTGACCTCGGAAACGTTAACCTCAGGGAGGAAGAGTAGCCGGTGGGCTAAGCCTTTCACGTTTTTACTATTTCATGCCTGTAAAACTCTACCTTTGTGAGTATGTTTTTATTTCTTTAAATCCACTGTATTAAAACGTTTTTACGCGATGGAGGCGCTCTTTGTGTTTTGTTTCT